CCCCCCCCCCCCCCCCCGGTCCTTGAAAAAGTGTTTCTGTGTGAAACTGGTCCCTGGCACAAAAAAGGTTGGGGACCACTGATCTAAGTCAATTCAGACAGATTGTCTTTTGGAGCGACTTAGGTGTCATGACAACAATGAGAAATCCCACGTTTAGGTTTGGTGTAGTGATTAAGGCACCAGGCTAGAAATGGGCAGACTGTGAGTTCTAGTCTAGCCAGGTGGCCTTGGGCCATTCCTCTCTCTCAGTCCTAGGAAGGAGACAATGACCAACCATTCCTGAAGTCTTGCTGGAGATTGTCCAGGCAGTCCCCAGGAGACAACACTGATTGGAAGGTCTGTGCGCACAAATGTATTCTGTAAGATCAGTAAGAAGAAACTTCCTCACGGTGAGAACAATCAGTGGAATGGCTTGCCTTCAGAAATTGTCCAGGCTCCATCACTGGAGGCTTTTATGAAGAGATTGACAGCCACTTGTCCAGAATAGAATAGGGTCTCCTGCTTGAGCAGAGATTGAAGACCTCCAAGATCCCTTCCAACCCGGCTATTTTGTCCAGGATGAAACCTAATGCAAGTGGCTGCTAAAAAACCAAAGCAGGGAACTAATCTTATCCCAGAACTACCAGTTCTAAGTGGGGGACTCCTCTGCGCAGTCCAGCTCCGTTGCCCTCAGTGGTGAATAGAATAGAATTCTTTTATTGGCCGAGTGTGATTGGACACACAAGGAATTTGTCTTGGTGTAAGTACTCTCAGTATACATAAAGGAAAAGATACATTCATCAAGAGTCAGGAATCATCAGGTACAACATTTAATGATAGTCATAGGGTACAATAGAATAGAATAGAAGGATATAGGAATAGAATTTAAATAGAATGGGATGGGATGGGATGGGACGGGATAGAGAATAGAATAGAATAGAATAGAATAGAATAGAATAGAATTCTTTATTGGCCAAGTGTGATTGGACACACAAGGAATTTGTCTTGGTGTAAATACTCTCAGTATACATAAAAGAAAAGATAAATTTGTCAGGAGTAGAGAATCATCAGGTACGACACTTAATGATAGTCATAGGGTACAATAAGCAATCAAATCATACTAGGAAACAGTCAATAGAAATCGTAAGGATACAAGTGACAAAGTTACAGTCATTCAGTCACAAGTGGGAGGGATGGGTGATAAGGAGTAATGACAAGATAATAATAGTAATAATAATAGTGCAGACTTTGTAATGGTTGAACAGGGGTGAGGGAATTATTTGTTTAGCAGAGTGATGGCTTTCGGGGGAAAACTCTTCTTGTGTCTAGTTGTGAAGAACCGTAGCAGCTGCAGGGTGTCGCCAGACAAACCCAAGCATGGCTGTGGCAGGAGGAAGCGTGTAAAGGACAGGAGGAGCATTGGTCGCTCTGTTGGAGCTGCCCTCACAACTCATTTTGTCTCACCTGAAGACAACCCAGAATTGTAGGACAGCCCATCTTGAAGGTAGATGCCATTGCAGCATGGCCCCACTGGTTTTATTTTTAAAGAGTGTGGCTGTGTAGTTATACAACAGGCTACTAAAATCTGAGGCCAGGTGCAAAACACTGTGAACCTGGCTTTGCCGTAGCCCTAATTAAATTCTTCAGAAATAATTTTTCCAAGTATTTATGCCCAAAAGGGAAGCCTGATCTGCAGGTCATTTCTTCTCAGGCCCATGAGTACATTCCTGTGCCCCTCTCGGCTCCTCTGGGCCTTCTCTGCCAGAGCACTCATCTTGTGGAAGATTCTGCCCCCAAACAGGACCAGCTCCCTCCTCTCTTTGGAAGTTCCAGAAGTCCCTCAAGACCTGGTTATGCTATCAGTTCTGGGGGTCCCAGGAAAATGGATACAAAAATAGTGGATGATTATTGTACACCACCCAGAGTAATTTCTTGTGAGATTGGCCTCCAAAATACATGCATAAATACATAGATATTGTTTACAATTAAATTCCAGAATATTATATCACTATATATATATGTATTTATGCATGTACTGTGGTTCAGCAACGTGATTTTGCGTGGCATCAAGGTGACAAAAAAACAACCCTGGGAAAATAGCAGTGTGCTGGTTTCCTACCCCTAGTGTAGCAGTTCTTTGAAAATCTGTTATCTAAACATCTGGATGATTTGAGATGATTGCTGGATGATGGAAGTGCTCCTTCAAAATGGCATCAGTCTTGGGATGGACAGTGACTTTCTCAAAAAAAAAAAAAAAAGTGAAACTCTCAGTTCCTGGTGTAAGTGAACGGGTGAGATTCTCAAAACCCCTTTTGACCTTGCCTGCCTGAAAGAATCAAATGGGGCAGCCAGTGCTTTTAATCACTGGCTCCTGATGTTATAATGAGAGTTAAAGGCCAAAAATGTAAAGAGGTCACGTGAGAACTTGTGGAAAGGACTCTGTGACGAAATCTCGAGCCCTGGCAGGCAATGGGAGCCCTGACTGTCCTGATCAGCAGCTGGTCTGATTGCTTTCAGGACTGCTTGGGGACGTCGAAGACGGACCAGACACCGCAATCGTACGTGGCTTTGATCCCTGCTTGCCCTGTTGGCTTTGATCCCTGCTTGCCCTGTAGGGGTGGGGGGAAGAGGGAGAGACCGCAAGCTGGGTTGAGAGGGCTGTATCTCCCCTCCCTGGCTTGGTATCTACTCCCCTAGAAGACGGAGAAGCGGCACTGTAATGGCTGCCCTGAAGACAGGAAGCTGCCGGGACTTAATTTGTGCTGGAGAGTGGAAGTGGTGAATGGCGTGTAACTGGATAAAAGACTTTGAATAAAGGAAAAACCGGAAATAAAAGAATTATATGAAAACAGAGATTAAATTTGGACTAATATACAGAATTGGACATCAATTATGTATTGGCTAAAATGCTGGATTTATTTGGAATGGATAAAATTTAACAATACTACGGAAAAGAGAATTAAAAATTAAAAAATTTTGAAAAGAAAGTGATATAGAGCACCACCTAATGGTGAAAGATTTTCCTCTTTTATGCTTTTATGGGAAATTACTGGTCATATAAATATTTGAAAGAAAGAAGAAATGGAATAATATTAATACAAGAACCCCGGAAGCTTTTTTTAAAAAAAGTGGGGACTACAGTAAAATATAAAGGAATACAATATTTTGGGACTGCTGGAGGTTGACTGTGACAAAAAAAATGAAGAAAGAGAGAGAAACGGAGACTTTTGGCAAGGACTATAATAGAAAAATTTGATCTTTAATAAAGAAATGAAAGAAATAAGCAAATAATTTAAGTCGGGGCTGCAAACTGTGAGAGGTATGTTAAAAGAAAGAATGAAATTGCTGGACACAATGATTAGAAAAGTAATGGCATTGCAACTTGTAGAAAAACAAAGAAAATTCAGAGATGAAGAGTCGGAAGAGGAAAACAACAGCCTAGAAGAATATGGAGAACAAAGACCATTGCCAAAGGATATAAAAGGATTTAAAATAGAGACACTGACAACAGAGACAACAAATAAAAGAGATAAGGCTCCCAAGACTAAGAAGAAGGAATTATATAAGAAGAAACCCCCCCAAAAGAGAACTGAAACAGGTGAAGGAAAACATAGCTGACAGGCAGAGGGGAATAAAAATAATACCAGAAGGAAAGAAGAAGAAAGTCCGGGGAAACTTAGAAAAGGGAAAGCTGGCTAAAATTAAAAGAAATAATAAAGCCGAGAAATTTAGAGATAAAGGTTAGGGATTTTATAAGGGGGATACCACATGGGAATGTATATTTGTACTTAGTTTAAAACTTGCTGGGAAATATTTTAGGACTGTATTTTTATATATATGTATATATATATGTATGTGTGTGTGTGTGTGTGTGTGTGTGTGTATATATATACATATACATACATATAGATATGTATATATATATATATATATATATATATATGTATATATGTATGTATGAACATGAATTGTATATGAATTGTGCTGTTATGAACCCTTTCTTTGGAGGATTAAAAATGGGAATGGAAATGAATTAAAATATATGGACAAACTTTGGATAAGGGGAAAGGAAGAAAAAACATGATTATTAATATTACAAGTAAAGTGAAGATAAAATGAGACATGTTAAGAAGTTACTCTAGTGATTTTCTGGGGGGAATATCTTAAAATATATACATTTTAAAATATACCGTTGATTATTTAATGGATATTAGAAGTGTATAATGAGAGTATTTTATTATGATTAAAGTAAGGGAATGGAAAATACCACGTGGATCCTAAATACATTGGCTTTATTTTACTTGTACTCTTTGCAGATAGTTTATTACATATCCGCTTAGAGAAAATTAACGATAATAATGATGTGTAATGTAAAATAACATAGGTGGTAGGCTGAAAATGGAAATAATAGGGGATAAAGAATTGAAAAGCTATGTGTGGATGAAAAGATATTGATATTGAACTAATGAATTGAAATATGAAATGCAAATTTATTTAAAGATGAGTGAATTGGATAATGATATGAGATGATATTATATAAGATTAATGGAAATGAAAGTATGACTATGTCCAAGTGTTATAATCCGGAATCATGTTGCTCACGTGAAGAGATGTGTAAAAATAAAATTAAAAACTTTTAATTTAAAAGAAAAGGACTGCTTGGGATACAGCAGAGAACTTGGACTGCTTTCCTGCCCTCCCTCCCCCAATCTTTTGGGTCCGTGCTCTCTTGCGCCCTGCTCTTCACCGCTTTCTGAGGATCCCCTTGGAGTAAAGCAGCCGGGGTTTACTCCCCCCTTGCTGGCAGGGGCTTTCAGGCTCCTGCCCTCCTGGTGCCGGCGTGTGCTGTGCTTCTGAGCACGCAGGGGAGGCCCTGCCTGGAGAGGACCGGGCCTTTTCTTGGGTTGGCTGTGGCTGGGCTGAAAGCGACTGACCCAGTGCCACCCGGAAGGACAGGCTTGGATCTGGGCCTGCCTTTGTAGTTCTCATTCAGTGCTTTTGCCACGAGGCCCCCCGCCGACTCTTCCCCACCAGCTGAGATGTTGAGGTTTGAAGTCGTAGCTTTCCCAAATAGCCAAAGTCCCAGTCCATGGTCTGCTCCACACTTGTGCGGCATTGCTGTTGAGAAACCCCCTGAAGCTTGTTTGGGGATGTGCATGTGAATTGATGGGGCCCTGTAGATGGCGACGGGCCCTCCACTGGAGCGAGGGAGGATGGGGTTGCTTGCTGTCCTAGCTGTCGCTGCTTCCTTTCAGCTACAGCTACATGATTGACAATGTCATTCTGCTGATTACTGGGACGCTCCATCAACGCTCCATCGCAGAACTGGTACCCAAATGCCACCCCTTGGGCAGCTTTGAGCAGATGGAGGCTGTGAACATTGCCCAGACGCCAGCTGAGCTGTACAATGCCATCCTGGTGGACACTCCTCTCGGTAAGATAAGAGGGCAGCTATCAGGTGGGGCCTCAATCCTAGGTAGGCAGGAAAACTGGTGGCCTTGCCAAGCTTGGCCATTTGTGGAAAGCATCAGGGCCTGCCAGTGAGGGGTCTCCTCCTCCACAAAGCAGGGGCGGCTGCAGGCCTGAGCAGGGGTCCAGAGGGGTCTCTCTCTTCTCCTGCTCACCCTTTTTCTTCTCTTTCAGCCGCCTTTTTCCAGGATTGCATATCTGAGCAGGACCTGGATGAGATGAACATAGAAATTATACGAAACACTTTGTATAAGGTTAGTGCTTAGAGACGAATAAATGTGGTGCTACAAAGCTTCTCCCATTTGGGCAACGTGGCTGGGTCTGCAGGACCAACTGAAGCCGGAAGGACCAGGGCAAGTGGGGAGGGAGGAGGGGGCAGGAGCCATGTTGGGCAGGCCTCAGCCTCCTGCACCCTGGAGCTTTCCTTTTGCTCTCCTTCAGTCCCCCCCATAGGAGCTGCAAAGTAAACAGTAGAGACCAACGGGAACCCCTGCTTTTCTAAGGATGTGTAAGCCTAGTGGCTCTCAACACGTAGCCCACAGACCCCTGGGGAGCTGCAATGTCCTCACAGGGGGTCCGCAAAGGCTTGCTTGAAGTTTACAGTTTAAATCTTAAGTCTGGGTGGTTCGTGGTCATGGCCTGTGGCCCAAATGGTGAGGCAAAGGTTGAGAACCACCAGGTTCGGCTCTTGTCTCTGGATGGCAGCAGAGGGAGAGTTAATGTGATCATCTTGCTTGCATAGGAGAACTCTCAGAATTAAATTAACACTCCTGTTACACTTGAGAAGTAAATATGGAGGAGGAGCACCCATTTGGATTTCAAGGGCAAATGGTGAATTGGACCGCTTGCAGCACTTGATGGAAGACCTCACGGGTTTGTCCTTGAGGAGCTCAGTGTAACAATCCCTTTGCCCTGGTATAACCACTGGTAGTGCTGCTGAAAGAGGGTGTGGGCCCTTTGTGAGGCGAGGGAGGGTGGGGAGGTGGGGATGTCAAGTGTGCTGAGGGAAGCGGTTGCCACTCCCTCGGCCTCCAAGCACTTGGTTGCTCCAGGTTCCTGGTTCATTTTGTGCCTGGCAAAACAGGATGCTGTTATACCTACTTCCCTTGATCAGACGGATTCCCATGAGCCAGAGGTCATAAGCAGGCGGCTCCCAGTGGACATGAAAGACAAAAAGGAATGTGGGAAGCAGTGGGGAGGGGTCTGCCAAGCTGCCTGGGCAGGGAGTTGAGCATAGAGGCTGCTGGACAGGTTTGGCCAAGGATGCCTCCTGCTTCCTCCTTGTGTGGCTTCATGGTCCGCCTTGGCTGGTTGAATCTTCTGAACAGAAAAGGCCTTCAGAGATTTCAGGTGGGGAGCAGGGCAAGGAGGCGTTGAGTGCTGATGTCCAAAGTAGCCTGCAATTGGCCCACCACTTCAGCTGCCTACTTGGATGTGGCTTTTGTATGTTCCCAAACGTATGTAGAGTCCCTGTCTCCTGGGGATTTGGTCTCAAGATTCTCCCTGTTCCGCCAAACCGGGTGCCCCCTCCCCACCTCCTTGGAGGGCAGTGCCCCTGCCAGGCTGTCAGCTCCAAACTCTGTGGGCCGTTTGGTAGCTTACGTGGGTTGCTCTTGTTGGCCTTGCTGGGCCAGGTGCTCACTGTGGGCTGCTTTCTCCCTAGGCTTACCTGGAGTCCTTCTACAAGTTCTGCAAGAGCCTGGGAGGCACAACCGCAGATGCCATGTGCCCGATTTTGGAGGTAGGAGCCAGCTGAGCACCTGCTCCATGGGGGGTGGGGGTGTCCAGCTTCCTGCTTGCTTGGCAGGAGAGGAGAGTCTCCGCCTGTGCTGGTCACAGCTGTAAGAGGGCAGCTCTGTTCCTTTGGGGCATCCTTTGTCTTTGCTCAAGGCCAAGCAGTTTCTGGAAAAACTCTAAATGTGTCACAAAGTATTGGACATCCATTGATTTTTTTCTTTTCTTTGCACCTAAGAATAGTTTCTCTCAGGCTAAAAAAAGGTACAGGTAATCCCCAGGTTTTCATTTAGTGCCCATTCAAAGGTACGAGATAAATACCCCCTAGTGCTTACGAGCAAGTCCCAAATTGTGACTGTTGCAGCACCACGGCAATTGTTCACCCTTACAAACGACGGCAGAGGTCTGCAGCATTCGCCCTATTCTCCATCCCCACCCCCAGAAACGGAGCAGATGGCTCCACTTGTAAGCTTCTCAGGGGCGTTCAAACACTTTTCACCCGAATGGAGAACTGACGCAGGCTGAAAGCTTCGTTTCCTTGCAAAAGGGACGCTTAGAAGTGGAGCCATTGTAACCCGAGGACTTCCTGTACTACAAACTTTTTTTAAAAATTGCATCTGATTTTCCCAAGATAGAAATTAGACAGTTTCGTTGCAGAAAATATTGGCATGCAGGTAGTTGCTGACTCATGCTGCCTTTTGTCTGAAATTCAACACCACAGTTAGTTTTCCTATTTCTGATAACCAAGAGCTAGGAGCCCTGTTGCTTTTGAGAGCAGGGGGGCCTTTGTGGATGGGTGGGGGGTCCTGCCACTTGGCCTACCTCGTTGGTCCTCCCCTCAGCTGCCCTGGAAGGCGGATATAGGAAGAGGACAGTGATGACCCGGGGTGTGGCACAAAGGCAACACAGTCAAATAAGCAAGAAATGTCCCTTTAATACCTCCAACTTTGCCCCCAATGTCCAGTTACCTTTGGCTGGAGAAAAACTCTCCCAGGAACAGCGTTTAAGTGGAGGAAATTCAGTCCAAAAACAAAGTATATGCAGACTGTAACTAAAAATCAAAACAAACCACGCTGCAGTAATTACTTGACAGGGCAGGAGAAGGAATTGCAGACTTGAAAGCCCAGCAAAAGACACACAGTTGGGAAGATGCCAGGAACCCAGATAAGCCTAGACGATACCAGATAATTCACGATTTGCTCCCAACAACTTTGCTGTGGCAGCTTCCCTTTTTAAACACTGTGTTCCCAGCTGCAGCTAATGAAGGGAATCAGGGTCATTTCCTCCCCCCGTAAGCCATGCAACTCACATTGCTCCCTTCTCCATTCCTCCCTGCGTGCCCTAGGATGAAGAGGGGGTGGGCCTGGGTCTTCCTTCGAATTCCCTCTGCCTTGCTCTGCCCAGCCAGACTGTGCCCTTCCCCAGTTCCTTCCACAGCCAAGGAGCCACACTTCCACTCTCTGTCAGCTGCTTGGCCTCCCCCTCCGAATCAGATTCCGACAGGGGCATGACAAGGACTTCCCTGGAGAGGCCCCCCGAAAGAGCAGTGCATGTGTGCTCCAGTGCTGATACCAGAGTGGTTAAGCCTCCCCTGCCATTATTGCATGCACACAGAGGGAGCGCAGGACAATCCTAAGGGAGTCCTGCTGCTGTCCCATGTCAGCCCTGCTGCAACGTACAGGGTTGCCTGGTTCTGCACAGCAGCACTTAAAAGTTCACCAGATATGGGACCTTTGCCAGAAAGTAGACAGTACCAGAATGCAAGTCACTTGATAGATGCAATCTTCACATACTACGTTTTCTGCTTCCTTCTGCCTATCTAATGCTCCTACCCTTCTTTTTAGATAATGTATTGTATTAAATAGTTCAAAACTAATGCAAAGTACTATAAAGAAGAAAAGAGAAAAAGAAAGCAAAATGTGCAAGAAAAAAGGTTGAAAGAAAAATAGAAAGGAATGAAAAAATGATAACAGTGTCTTCCAATCTTATTCACAGCACTTATAAGTGCAACTATATTTTAACCATTCTCTCTAATGTGGCATCATGATACTTTTCTTTCCATAATCTAACTTTTCTTATCATCAAAACCTTAAATCACAGAATTCATTTCTCATTTTCTATGCAAAAATGTCCATAAGGGGTTTTCAATCATACCAGTCAATCAATCAGAATAGAGCTCGTTTAGTTTATTGCCATTGCACCTCATACAACGAAATCAAACACCATCTTCAGTGCACATCATGACCATGAAAATAAACACAAACACACATCCTTCACCCTTCACACATTGAACCGGAAACCCCCAACACCACACCAACACTGCACTATACAGCAGAATTCAAAAGAGCTACTGCCCTGGGAGAGAAGCTGTTTTGCAGCCTATTTGTCCTTGTTTTTATTATCCTGTACCGTCTGCCAGATGATAACAGTTTTTTTAAAAAGGGGTCCCAGGATGAGATGGATCTTTGAGAATGTTTTGAACTTTCTTTCTTTTTTTATATATAAAACAAGTTTTATTGGTTTTAAAGACAAACAAAACATAAGACATCAAAGTATAAAACCTCCTTTCTCAAAAATTACTTATAAGTTTTAACAAGGCAAATAAAGCATTATTTTTTAAGGCATAGTTCCACATTATCACATTTCCATTTAGACACGTATATATCTTTTCCAAATTTCTCATTGTTTCTCCCTTCACTTTTATTCAATTATATTTCTTTCTATCAAGGTTTTGTTAATTCTCAATCAAGCATAAACACACAAAATACAAAACATAAAACAAGACATAAAAAGATAAAACCTCCTTAATTATCATTTATACATGTCTTTTCCAAATTTCTCTCCCTTTAGTTTTATTCTTCCAAGGTTTTGTTAATTCACAATCAAAACATAGTTAACCAAAACACAAAACATAAAACAAAAAACTTCTTTTGAAAAGTGGCTTAGCCCCGGGTTACATCTTTTTTTACAGACCTAAATCAAGTTCATGCTCACCTTATATACCATTCATATCTTATTAACCATTCTATATTTTCTATATAACTTCTCCCTTCTTTTCACTCTCTTAATTATATTTTATTTATTTCATATTATTTCAAAATCATTATGTTTGTATCTTTTGTCCGTTCTTTTCCAATCATCTATTTATCTCTTCTCTTTAGCAAAGAATTTCCCCTGTAATCACTTTTAAGGTGTGGTGCCTTTCCCTAAAGTAACACTTAAAATAATACATAATTTCTATCCTGATTCTGCTTAGTACATTCTACATATTGTATTTTGAAAAAAAAAAAAGAATAATAAACTTATAATATAATTAAGTATGTAATTTCCATTCTATTTCTAATTAATAGTATAACTAAGCATTAATCATTTTACACATTCTCTTTAATATTTTATTAAATATTGAAATCTATCATTATAAAACATTTTAATATTTTAATATTTTGTTAAATCTTATAATATTCCAATAGACTATTCCAAATGCAAATACTACAATACTATCTTATGTACTCTTGCAGAATCTTTCTTAAATTATACACTGTCCTTTATCCTTTATCTCTAAAAAAGATATATTGTTTCAGACCGTGGCTTTTTTTCCCTTTTTCCCTCCCTTTCTTCTCCAGTCTGATCTTTTTGCCCCCCCCTCTTTTTAGCTTCCCCTCTCTTGTAATTCTCTTTTCAATTGCTTTCTAACATTATACCTTTTTTTCACCTTATTTTTCTTTTTCTTGGTTGTTTTATTGAATCTTAAATTCTCATTTTTCCTTCCTCTCTTCCTATTTTCTTTCTTAATCGAACTTTTTGTCCATTAAAAATGGCTTCCTTTTCTTCTTCTTCTTCTTGTTCTCCTTCTTCCTCAAGTATTTGCTGGTACGTAGAAACTGCCATTTCTAAAAAGTGGAAGACAGCTCCCAATGAATTCTTGCCATTTTGTTCTCTTTCTTTTAATTTTTCATATTCCATTTTTAGTTGATCCACAGATGGTGCCATTGTAAATTTTTAAGAACAACCCAGATGTTTTTAATCTTAAAGTAATTTGCAAATGTCAAAGTTATCAAACAATCCAAACAGACAAATTATTTCCTCTTCTCTTTGCAACTTTTCCTCCTGGGGCAAAATCCCAAATATATTTTAAAGCCGTATTACAATTAGTTGTTGGTCTTATAATCTTCAAAGCGTCTCCTCCAACAAGTTTTTAAAGATTTTTTTTTTAGTCCTCTCCTTCCCACTTATAACAAAGAGCTTGTTTTTACCTCAAAGCAGCAGTTTTTCTGTGCTCATTTGCTTTCTCCGTAAGGGAGTGAACTTTCCTTCAGCACTTTTGCCGCCTGTAACAAACTTCTTTTGGAAACAAATGTATCAATCCGAAAGTCAGGTTTCCAGGGTGTTTTAAAAGTAACTTCATGTCCCGGTTCAGCCAAGAAAACTTCTCCTTCTGTCTTCCTCCTGCACAGTCTTATCCGGTTGAAGATTCCTTTGTGGCTGCCATTTCTGACAGCCGCTCCACCGCCTCAGGAAAAAGGAGTCTAGCCGGCTGGGGAAAGGGGTTGCGATATCCCCAGACCCCTGCCCGGATCTCCTCTGTCTTCCGCTGCCTCTTTGGGGCAGCGACAACCCCCAAATCCAGTTGGATCGGGGGTACCTCAGCAGCGAGCACAGCAGGGACCCGCAGAGAAGCGGATTCCTGCCGCCGCTGAAGCCTTGCAACCGGAAGTTCGGATGTTTTGAACTTTCTTAAGGCAGCGGGAGCTCTAAAGCTCTTCCAAAGAGGGGAGAGGGAAACCCATGATCCTCTGGGCAATGACGTTCACCCTCTGGAGTGTTTTCCTATCTGCCCCTGTGCAATTGGCAAACCATACAAGGGTGCAGTATGTTAAAATGCTCTCTATGGTGCAGCGGGAAAAGGTCACCAGCAGTTTTTCAGTTGTTGTTTTCTGAGAAGTCTCAAGTAGTATAATCTCTTTAACCAGGGCTGCAATGTGGCCACCCCAGGTCAGGTCCTCTTTT